CACACACACACACACACACACACACACACACACATATGCATGGCTGGTCCTGACGGACCATACCAAAACAGGTGTGGTTTTCACATACCACTCTTCCCAAGTGGAGTAGAATACCTGCCTTTGCGACCTTGCAGCCCTGCAGCAAGGGTCGTGAGAACAAGGCTATCTGGCAACCGCCGAGCATCTGTCCATAGGTGTACTTCGTTGCCACGCGTTGTAGTTACGTGGGCCACAAGGCTACGGGACGCAAGAGCACGCGAGCGCAACTTGAAGGGCAAGGTACCTTTGTGCTCCTGCTTTCAACTCATATCTAGCTAACTTCGATAATTGCTTGACAAGTCAGTATGTGCTGGGGCTGACGGAAGGGTTGTTGCTGGACTGGATCCAAAGAACTCTAGTCTTTTCCATAGCTGTCCAAGCATAGCATTAGCTGGCATGCTGTCTAGCCTAACGAATGAAAAATTTCGACTCGGCTTCGGCTGTGTATTTTATATTTTATGCACCAGAAATGGCATTCCCCTACATGTGCAACAACTCATGCAAAAGCATGAGTACATCTAATTCGACAGAAGCGTCCCGTGTGTACAGAGGGTACAGCTTTATTTGCCGTGCGCCCTCATTCAAATGCCGACTAAATGCTACTGGGAAGAGTGGTTTGCTTGCAAAGTTCAAAGACATCCGGGCCCGTAGCACCATGCCAAAACGTCTCAGGACGCTGAGTCAGCATTATGTAGCGAAGCAGTGAAAAGTGCTGTCGCTGTAGTTAGCGAAAAGGTGGGGAAGACGGCAGTGCTAAGATGGCCGGATACTTTCTGTTCAGTCTCCGTTTCCCGCCAAAAGCTTCTATGCCTAGATCCATAAGGCAGCTCGATGAAATTCACAGGACCCCGGAAACATTGGGGGAAATTTGGTCCCTAACAACGAGCGATGGCACCCCGGTGTCTTCTTGGCTATGCGCCAGACCCTGAAGGGGGCTGTTTTAAGTCCACCGCAAAACCATCCGTTCTTCGCTAGCAATGGGAGCAATATTTAGGGCAAGATCGTTTGCCGTGTTCCGTAACCCTAAAGAGTGAGCGGAAGAATGGCTGCCGGGAAGTATTACGAGACGTGCTCAGCAGAGTGCTTGAGGAAGGAAAAGATGTGTGCTCTTAAGTTGCGTCTCGACTCCCACGTGACAAGTGGCGGGGAGCTGCCAGCATGTGCGAGGAGCAAGCGAACAACAAGCAAGCCGTTACACCGCCTGAGCTTTAAGCATGCAGCCGCTATACACTAGAAACTATTGTGCCTTTCACTCGTTTTATTCATTCTCCTAAAAGAGAAAAAGCAGCCCCCAAAAAGCGTTGGCACACATGCGGAATAGCCTGTTCACCGCTTGGGGTATTGCTGTTGCAGCCTGGCTACCACCGGTGCTACGCCTATAAGCCCGGTTCAGCTGCCTTCCAAACAGTTCTTCAACATTAGGCCTTTAGCGTTCTGTAGGGAGAAGCATACATAGCATAGACATAAACGGTGCCAACTCAACACGCTCATCTTCGCGTACGCCGCATTGTAATTTCACCTCATAATGAGCCAACAAGGTCTTGAATCGACTTCCCTTCTCTGTTTAGAGCCTGTTCTAAAAGTTGCAAGGTCTTGGTACTCTCTTCTAGCTCCTTTAACATGGCAGAGTTTGCCGTCTTCGCAGCGTGGCACTTTCGCAGTTTCGTCTTGGGCTTCTTCTCAACCATTTTGCCGCTAATTTCAAATACTAGGGCACCACTAAGGCTTTCAACTGTGAAATCATCCACTACAATAGTGAAGCTCTGAACATAAAAACGCGTGCAAGTGCCCAATTGTGAATTCCTTATCCCTAATACTTTCAGTTGAACGTAAAAAGCCACGGAACGTCAAGATGGTAGCCAGACACTCAGATCTCCACGCGTTTACTCGTAGTTATGGCCTAGGGAAGCGAACGTAGGCTGACACACCCTCGAATTGTTGAAAACAGGGCTACGGGAGGCTTGTTCCAAGGATATCATGGAAACATCCGTCTCCCCATCCAGCCATCGGTACATAACCTGCATCGTAAGCGGCAGCAAGCGGCTTACGTTCTTCTAGTTTCAACGTCGCTAAAACGTTCAGGTGCTGACTCTGTATTTTTTCCGTATTTGCCAGTCTAAGCAAGTGCTCTCCCCTTGCCTGTGGATGTTTGCAAAGCCTTTCTGGCAGATCCTTTGCCGAGTGAACCGTAATTGTAATGACCATCTCGCGACCTTTGATGTCTACCACTGACTGAAGAGCGTCTATGTTTACTTCTTGCTCTTGCCTGGTGGTACAAAAGTGGTGGCATCGGACAAGGCCTACACATGATTTGGCCAGATCGTACAAACGATTTGTATGTAATGGGGCTGTCGGTGAAAACTAGAGGTCGCTGCGCGTTGTTGTAGCCTGCCCTGTACGTTCTAAGAGTTTTTTGTGTTGTCTTACCCATCGGTTTCGTCAGACGTTGGTGTAACTTCAATGGAAGTGGAAAGGGTAAGCTTGCCGCAAGCTTTTCCATTAGCACCAATAATGGGGAACACTTCTGAATCAATAGGCAAGAGGCAGCGAATTGTATCAAGGTATAGGTAGCTTTCTCCAATGACCTAAACCGCACGTAGTTCAAATTCGCTCCAGCGTAGGAATTCAACCAGGCAACATTTCGTAACTTAGGAGATAGAAGAGAAGCCGACGGCCATACATCGCACAGCAATTCTTGTATTCTGCAGATATGCCATATTGGGCCCTCCTACCAAAATGCATGTACCTTGGATGCCGGCTCTCTAGTGTGCCTTGCCCACCTGGTAGCTCTCCATATCCAAGGCGAAAGGGTCTTTTACACCCTCTTTTAGATACGGCTCTGTTCTTGATCCCGCCGCCCACTGTGTATACAGTTCCCTCATGTCAAAAACCTTTTTTTCGAATAAGTCCAAGTTCCATAGTTGCACAACATCTGAATCCACTCTCTGCACGCGGATTACGATCTCTGCTTGTTGTAAGGATGTTCCGATCAGGGTACTCCTTAGGCCGCAAACACTTCTTGACTTGGCATTTAGCTTTAGCGAAAAGTAAACCCCTACTCCAAGCTCCTGGGCATAGCCATTAGCTTCCTCCACGAGAAGCGCTGTTCTGCCCATGACCTCCTGCAGGAAAACATGAGCGGCCCTCTCAGCATCCTGCCGTTTTGCTTCCTCATCCTTTTCCCTTTCCAATAACAGGCGCCTTGCTTTTAACTCATCTTCCTTTCTGTCTAATTCCTGCAGCGCAGCTCTTTTTTCGGCCGCAATCAACTTCAGTTTTCTCTCTGCTTCTGCTTGGTCTTCTTCACTGGCGAGCACAAGAGCTTTTTTATCCTTGATCTTCCTAAGCAGCTCCTTCTTTTCAGATTCGAAAAGCTGCACATCCGCTTGCAGTTTTTCGCACTTTTCCCGGTATTTGATTTCGGCGAGCTTGGTCTGGGGAGTTTGTTGAGTCGCGCACTCTTCCATAACATCTTTTGTCACCTCCCTCATACCCTCTTCCCAGGACGGGAGCGTCTTGTCCATATCTGCTGGGTCGACGAAGACGTACATATGGTTATGCCCAAAAATTATCCTATCCTTGTGCTCTAAACGTTTTGACTCGTTCTCCCTGAGGACAATCCCGTTGATGGATGTCTTGCCGTGCGCTGTTAGCAGCACTTCGTAAACTGCCGCACCTCTCTCGTCTTCCTCCATTCGGCTCTGTCTTACATAAACGACAGCGTGCAGGGGGGATACTCCCAGGCCACCAATGCGAAAAGTAGGCTCAACATCTCCCCCCGCCTTCCCTATAGTGCTTTCGCCTTCCTTCAGTGCAAAAACGATCTTTCCCGACAGAAGCGGGTCTTCATTGAGGTTGCTGAGATAGGGTATCGTAAGTTTTTCTGTGTCCCTGACTTCTACACCCGTAGGTCTCCTCTTTTTTGCAGCTTCGAGCTTGTCTTGCCATGACATTGTCATTTCTTGTAGCGCCCTTCTGTTTGCCTCCAGCTCTTCTTCGTACTGTCTTCGAATTTCCTCCATCATTTGAGGGTCAGCCGCTGCGCTAGGTGCGGCATCTTGCAAGGCGCCACCCATAGCCTACAGATACGCCCAGTTCACATGCGATCCATTGTAGAAAAGCCTGGTAGTGGAATGCAAACTTTTGCGTGGAGATGGTGCCGTTAGATGCACTGAGTCACGCATGAACCATGGCCTATTGTGCAAAAAACACTTGGAGTTCATCCTGCTGCTTCGCAGGTGTACAGCAGGCAGGCAGCAAAATACAGTGTAGTCGTTCTAACACCAGTCCAAGGCACTGGTAAGACCCGCAGAGCTCTGTGTGTTTCTGCGAAGTGTGGAAGAATTGACGCACTGTCTTTAACCTTTCGTTCTCTTCTCGAAGCTCCCGAATAAGCTTTTCAAGGGGGTTCTCATTGACAGTTGCTTCGTTTTTAATCTGCTTGACTCGATCTGCGGCCGCACGTAGGTCGACCAAGACTAGTTGCACGCTCTGTTATTTTGAATGATGTCAAGCAAAGTGCCCTCGTTGCGCCTCTGAAACAACACGCTTACATCATGCCCCCAACCAGATTATATGCTGCACAGTTGCTGGTTACCTGCGTAACGGAGCGTGCTGAGGGTTTCTTCATAGTTCACCGTGGCAGGAGACAAGGCGGCGATCATGCATGTTTTGCTGTTACCCCCAAGAGCCGTCTGCAGGATGCGTGTGAGAGCAGAGTCTCTATACGGAATAACCTGCACCCAGCAGAAATGCATCTGAGACCACCGTAAACAACGGGGTAAATCTTTGTGGTTTCAGCCTTTTTTTGTTGCGTGCAAGACAAAGATGATCTCGAAAATCCAAGCTTGCGAGGGCAGAATTTTTCAGGGCCACAATTGCCTGTGACGTCCGCAAGTGCATAGCGTCACTAGTAGCTAGGCTTCCAAGGCATCTGCAGGCTAAATGAAGTGCAGAAGCTACTAACGGACTATTGATGGTTGGTGGTGGATAGTCGAATTTTCAAATACAACACAACTAGCGTTTTCGTAGAAGCGAACGGGAGAATGCTACTGCTTGTCAATCAGCAGAAAATTCACCCACGACCACGCACATGGGCCCATTCAAAGCATTGTGCTCAGCTTCATAGGTGAAACATTTCCTATTATTGTACCTTTTACTAGTATGGATGTTGACACCCAATGAAGTAGTTTGAGGTTAGCCTGTACATTCAAGTGTACCTGCCCCGGTTTGAGTTTGCCTGATGCTTTGTCTGCAAGAGCAGATATGACGTTTCCTAGAGCACTCAGGCTTTGGTTGATAGCACACCCTTCTTTTAAACGGTCTCCTGTTGCGCCCGTTGATCCAGCTCGTTCACTCCCAGCAAGGTCCACCAAGCTTATCTCGGAAGATTTCTGTGAAACTGGATTGCCGCTGCCAGCTGCAAAATTAGACACACCGTGGGGAGCAGATGCACTCTGTCACGTTATTCCGTGTCACAACTGAGGAGAATCGCATTTTATCTCGGGTGTGCTGGAATCCGCTGTTAGTGGACTCCTCAATAGTTATGAGATTTGCTCTAGCTGAATGCAGCCCTAAACTGAACAGCCACGGCATGGATTTACGACCTAGCCTAACTTGCTGTCGAAGATTCATTTGCGCAGGGTAGTGCAGACGGACCGTCTATAACAACTTGCCGAAAATTTATTTGCAGCACAGTGTGTGCTCGGGAGGATGTCGCGTTCATGAGCGTCGCTCCCACTGTCCGATTGGCTGTGCCTGCAGTGTCAACCAGTCCACCTAATTGGCTGCGCGCCACTGAAACGTTAGACACTCTAGGCGGCGGCATGCACTTTTGCTCAGAGCGATACCTCTACACGCTGGAAGATTTATGGTGGTTTCTGTTGCTTAGTTGCATGCAAAGGTGCTGCCACCTCACTTTCACCTAAGTGGTGCACCACCTCTACGAAAGCAATAACAGTGAGAAGTTTTGCATATACTGTCCACCAACTAGATTCCAAGTAACCGTTGTTCTTACCTTCATCAAGTTTTGCTTGGATAGCGGCATAAGAATCAACTGGGCACTTTGTGAGATCTTGAACAAACGTTCCGAGCTGTGGGGTGTGTCTGATTTTGAGGCCTCCTTTGGGCCTTTTTTCTATTGGCATCAAAAGGTCCTGCACCTGTTCATTATATATTTCAAGCATGCTTATTTGCACCTCGGCTAGTAGATTAGGGTCTGTATTTGCACCGATACGCGCGAATATCTCTTCGCAAGCACGAACAATGATGCCTTTGTTCGCTCCGTATCCAACCATAGAGTAGCTTTTACCAGCTCCAGTCTGGCCATAGGCAAACAGACATGCATTGTAGCCTTCGTAAGCATTGTTAAGCACGTCTTTCCCTATTTCATTGTATAGGCGTTGTTGATCTGCATATTTCGCGCTAATGGGGCGAGAGTAGCCTGTTTCATCATTTTCAAAGCCATCGTGGGACCAGTAGGAATAGTCGAAAGAAAAGGTCTTTTTCCCGCCCTTTGGCTCTTCGATATTGTCAATTGTTGTGGCCTTCCCCTCCATGCTAATGCAGAGCTGCGCGTTCATGTTTTTCTCACGGTCATTGAAGGGCCGCACACGAACTGCCACTTTAACTGATGACATTTTCTCTATGCCTTCTGTAGAAGGCACTTCTGTTCTCAAGTTTCAAGGATATCAACTCACGGATGCGCGCCAAGCACCAGGCTTTCTGCCCCAAGGCAGCAACTAGCGCCTGGACCCACGCGAAGCGCTCCAGTGCTTGTGCAGAATGGTACGGTTTCCTTTCGTCTTTTGAACACGTTTAGCTGATATTTATGGTAGCTGACCAGCCTGACGGTGTGCTTTAGATCCGCTTGACGCAAAATGGTGTATCGCGTCGGCCCAGGTGACCCTACAAGGGTTCTCTGCACACCCCTTGGCGGACTCGGGGTCCGCCTACAACCGCAAAGCACAAATGCTTGCCCAGCTTCCTAAAACTATTGCCATGATGAAGTACGAGGTGAAGAAACGGGTTCCTACGGCTCCGTGAACGCCCACAATCGTCCTCGCGTCTCCGTCCCGCCACGCGGTCCAGGCATACGCTTCGGGAGAGCAAAGCAAATTTCGACGGTAATACAAACTGCGCATATTGGATATGGCTTTTCACTGTTAATTAATCAGGATCCACAGCAAGATGAAGGGCTTGGCGATGTGCTTCATTGGCAAACTCGAGCCGGTTCTTCGTTCCGGCAGAAACCCCTCCAGTGCGCAGTTGGAGGCGGATTTCCACTGAGTTTGAATCCGCTAAAAGGACGGCGGAACAACTTAATGCAGTCATTCTGGACTCGGTTTGCTGGCGATAACTTCTCTCTGGGTGGCTGTGGGGAACGGCCGTTTAACTACAGAGCCAGCGTTGACAAGAGTGCTCGAGTAGAACAGTTCCGCCTTTTTGTACAGACAAAGCTGTAAAAAACAGCGATGTCTCACTCCTTGTCGTACAGTTGAGAAAGCACTTTAGCAGCTGAAAACAGGCAACCCATCAGAGAGAGGTGGTTGTCCCCGAAACAAATGCCCCTTCTACCATGGGAAGTGCGTTCAGTAGTGCCTTCAAGATAGGAACCCAAGCCCCAGAACTAAGTGGTGAGTAAAGCCATTAATTACCTCTACTTCAGCGCACCTTTGCTCAAACAGGCTCTAAGGATGTATTACCTCTTTTTCAGTGGCTTGTACTTCCCGCTTGGCTCCCAGGAACATCTTAATTAAGTTCATTTGTGGCGTTGGGGCAAAATAAAAAGGTGCTTTGCTGGCGCTGCATTTGCAACTGTTCGCCATCAAATTTGAGATGAAACAGGCAGTTTGGCTGTTAAACTCTTTCTAGCATACACGGCCAAATCCTCATCTAGCGTAACAGCAACGCCTTGCGTAAGTAATCTTTTCAAATCTAGCCACTTTCTGTGAAATAATTAGGGGGGTTGTAAATATCCAAATCTAGACGCACTGCACGCGATTAAACCGAATATATGCGCCTCTCCTGCCCCCCATAGATGAGTGTGCAACGACCAAGAAATCTGTGCATGCAAAATATCAGTTGCGAAATCCAGTCTCCCACCAACCACGCGTTTAGGGAATTAAGTACAGTTGTATTCTTGATCGTGGCTGAGAATCTAAAGGGGTTCGAAGTTTTTCGTCCCGTTCGGCCAGATAGTACATATTAAAAGCTATCAACTATACCTTTCATGGCTTTCATGCCTTGCAGTTTTATCTAGGTAAGCATCCATTCGGGACTCAAGGATTTCCAGCTCCTGCTTTTGTATCTGGAGTTCCTCCTCTCTATCTTGCAGTGCCTTCTCAACGTATTTTATATACGCCGTCAGTCGCTGCTGCCCATTAACCACCTGAGTTGCGTAAACTGACAACTCATGCCGCAGATGGCCCTCTTGCTGGGCCACTTCACGAGAAAGCCTGGAAAGTTCTGCGTGAGTCTCGTTCTCTAGCTGTTGGAGAAGGGACACCATGTTGCCGCTGCCGAGGCTCAACTGAGTCGCCATCATGCGGAATCGGTCGACAAAAAGAGCGACTTCTTGAGCAGCATACGAACGAATTTCGTTTGGCAACGCAGCATACTGCTCGTCAGATAGAGCAGTGGTAACCACATCCGGAGGCAGCTCCACAACTTTTAGCGGCTTCTCCCTTTGCCTCCTTTCCGCTTCCTCTATCTTTCGCAACGCACCGGCCTTATCTTGCTGCTCCCTGGTAGTCGACTTTCCACGGTGCAAAATTGTATCGTCGAGCTGCCTCAGGCCTTCTACTTCCACCATCTCCTGCTGATGATGCACCACTGCTCCTTTCGAACCAAATTTACACAAAAGCTCCGCAAAAAAAAGCTGTGCGGATTCAAGTGCTGACCGATGCGAAATCTTCCCAAGTCTCTCCATTGCTTTGATTTCAGCTGAGCGGAAAGCCAGCGACCGAAGCAGAACGCACAGGAAGAAGCTAAAACAAATTATTCCCATGAAAAAGAGATACGGGAAAAGAAAAGCCCCAGCTGTGACGGCATCCGCATGAAAAAGTTGCGATAGGGGGAAAAAGCCCGTCGTTAGCATGATCGTGGAAATAAAGGAATTCTTGAGGGTTGAGTAGCCCTCCAATTGGCGCCCAAAGGACAGAAAGCATAAATAGGAGAACCCAATGAACACTAGTGTTGTCCCCATCAGAACCTGGATCATCTCCTCCGCTGCAGAAGCAAGAGCGAAGAACATGAGGGTTACGCGTTTGCGCTTGCGCCCAATACGAAGCAACCGAAGAAATGCCACGGCCAAGATAGCGGCCGCCAACTGAGCATAGGTGCGGAGGGAGGCAGCTGTTGAATTGACGGCTTCAAAGAGCACCCCAGCAGCTGCAGCTGCATCTGCTTCCTGCGTGCCACCGGCCGCAGAAGCTGCTGATGCTTTGGCAAGGTCATCTGCTAAATTGAACACTTGGGAGTGCGTTGAGGTAAGCACGTAAAGTACCCACACCCCGATCGAACCTGCCAACACTCCGAATCCAATTAAATCGAACAGGTTAAAAAGGTCGTCCACGAAGAAAACCCCCAAGCACAAACCAAAACTGTAGTCTTCACGCTCCTGCTTCAAGCTCCTCCTCAACCGGTGGAGCTCGACAAAGAATGAAGCACCAAAAAACAAGAAGAGCGCAAGGCTGGCAACTTGCAAAGCGATAGCAGCTATCCTTGTTGAGTGCCAGGCGGCGTATGGCTGCAACTGAAACAATCAACGGACGGACACAGAGGCGTGCTTTCATAATGTACAAACCAATGAGTCGTGCTCTCACAAACGAGATAGCACTGGCTAAGGACTGGTATAGTTTCGTGGGGCATTAAGTCACCTCGTATGCTTCAACAGAGAGGCTGGGTGCAACGGTACCGCCACGGTCTCGGCGAAACCTCATCGACAACTCGAATAACAAGTTGTCAGAATTAGGGTTTACAAGGACAGCGTAGAACGCCAACTCTGCACCTACATCCCGCAAGATGTCCTGATGTACGAGCTCTTCTAAGAATGCTCGAAAGGCAGTGGGTTCGAAGAGTGGCTGATAGTTGCACTGGAGCGACTCACACGTAAAGCCCAGCTTAGCTGGATACGCTGACTCATGGCGGAGGGTTAAACCAACACGAACAGAACGTGCAATAATCGCACAGTTCCAGTTACACAGCACAAGTTGCTGGTACGTAGTACCTACAGCCGCACAGCACCACAATTTAGCTGGTACAGCTAACGGCAAGCCTCCTGCCGAACGCAGGCTGCATATGCTGGCTGAGTGCATACTGGTTGCACAGCAACCAAAACATTTAGCTCAACATGAATGACCTGCCATTCGGGAGTGCTATCTGCGGGGCGACTTCATCGGGGAACGCAGAAGTAGGCGCAGAGGCTAAAAGGCTCATTAACCCATCGTCAGCAAGTAGCCAGCTGTAGAGAGTCTTGGGCGAATTCACGCTGAAAACGTGCTGGCGGGGGAAATTTATTTTTGCATCTACATCCGGTACGCCTGTAAACGCAGGATACCATGCACAGCGCAACAGCAAGACGACAACAATTTTGGCAGTGGTTACTGCTTCTGGAAACCCCAACTGGATGGCCCTCCGTGGACGTTACAGCGATTGGCACCGGCTGGCCGGTTTTTGCAATTAACTGTAAACTTCTCTAGTTGTGTCAGGTGAGCTCCAAATGCATACCCCACACCTGTGGAAGCATCCTTGCACGTAAATTCGACAGGTTCCAACGGAAACCCAGACTTGGCAATCGCCTTGCCAGACATGTCCCTTATGTCCGCAGCCGCGTCCACTGACAGCTGTACAAAGATCAAAAGATCGGGCTAAGTCTACACAACGAAAAGCTTTCCGCTGGGCAACGATGTGAGACTGTAGTGAATGCGTTTCTTAAAAATAGATCTGAAGGCAGTGTGACTAGCGGAAAGAGCTGTATTCCCCAGGAGCAAGTCGTCCTTCGCCTGGAGGATGATTCGGCGGTTTTTCTGACTCACTTGCAAGCTGACAGTAGCCACTATGATGGCAACAAACGCCACTACGAAGAGCTTCTTCCAAGCGTCTTCGTGGTCTTTCTGGGTTTGGTTCCTCACAAGAACGTATACCTAGAGAAATAGGAATAATGAAAATGGTGAACATGGCAATTTTTGTAGAGGCAAGCACTTCGAATGCGACCAAATTCCGCAGCAGCTCACGAAGAGCGTCAAGTTCAAGCCTAAGGTGCTCGTAAGTACCTTAGCAACAGAAGGGGCCGGATATTCTGCCACGTGTGTACATGGAATATCCGGCGTAAAATACCAATTCGACCTGTCTGTCACGCTAGCCACGTTAAATCCACTGAAGCAGCCATACGTCCTGGAATACGTGCCTGCAGGAAGAAGAAGATCGGTGTCTTGCTATATCAAGTCAAACGCACACTACACACACTGAAGACTCGCTGATTCTGGGTAGTCAATTAGTCCTACATTCACTCCTCTGCAAGGTGTTCATCTGCCTAAATGCCAGCACAATGCATACACCACAGGCGATACAGGTACTACCGTCTGTCAACTGCCCCTTTTCAGCGTGATGAAAGTCAGAATGCAGGGACCCTGTCATACATGGACGCAGTTAGTGCCATATAGCCAACAAACTTGGCGTATACCTATGCTGGCTGGGTCCACGTAGAACCCTTGTTCCTCTCCAGCCCGTGAAGCGTATTTGCTTCGAGGATCTTCCATGCCTAGTGCATTCCAAACCCACGGAGGGTATTGTGGGGGTAAGTCGTCGTCTTCCTCGACTGAAGACAGTTCTCCTTCTTCGTATTGTTCACGCCTGTAAAAATCTTTTCCTTTGTTTTTAATCGAGCGGTGCAATCTCCGCCTGGCCATTTTCTTTTCTTTGAGTTCCCTGGCCTCTTTGATGTCATCATCCACAACGTGGTCGGCGCCCTCATCAAGCAACACCACCGTCTGCGACTTCCAACAGCCAACCATGGCCTTCCAAAAAGCTGCGCATCCCGATTTTACGCTTTGCACTAACCATTCGTACCGCGTCCGAAAGACATCCTGTGCAACAGGCGTGCACATTAGGGAAAGTGTCAAGCCAACGCAGCTTTTCCTTCACAAGTGCATGCTGCAAGAATGCACGGATGAGGTGCGGAAACGGTCACTGGAGTTGCTTTAGACACTTGAATGGAAGCATCTGACTACATTCATTCCTACGAAAAGCGGGAACAGCTACCCCCCAGGCAATTCACGAAGATAGGAACAATGCGAGTGCGCACTACTGCGCGGGTACTTTACCTTTCCTTCAAGTTTATACTTGATGACGCCTTGTTGCACCGATTCAGCACAGAAATCGTGCTTCCTCAGCACCACTGCAGTTACGATGGTAAATCCAAAAGCAGAGAAGACCAGAAAGAGTGGCACGAAGAAGATCCCAGCAAGGGTAGGATTTACAGCAGTCATCGTGTAAGGATCATAGTTCCCAAGTGTCCCACCTAACAGAAAAGCTGCAGATGTCGTTAAGCTGCAAGAAACACAGAAGATACTGCACGATCATGGAGGAGATGCTACAGAAGCGCTCTCTTTTACTCCTTCTCTGTCTTGCATGCCATATTCCACTGAAGAGCACGGAAGAGCGAAACTATGCAGTGATGCTAGCGGCGCCATAACGCTGTAAGCTTGCCTTTCGTAATAGCCGGCGAAACTGCGAGTGGCAACGCCAAACGATATGTTTCCAAAAGATACAAAGACAAGGACGATGGCCAACATCCCTATGCTCGAAGCCAGTATGTATAGCTTAACTTTGCGAAATGTCATCTGTAAAGACTTGGTTCCTATGCCTGCAGTAGCAGGGATCAATCTAGTTATTAAGATGCACCCTGTCAATGCGGCAAGAGACCCGAATGTAATGCATGCCTGTTGTGCTGCGTCGTTTGCGCGGAACAAGTTATAGTAGTGCGCGAGCAGCTGGAAAAACCCCGACGCGCTGACTGCGCTGGGTGCCTCCAAAATGTCGTAATATCCATTAGCTCCTATCGTTGTCTCAATTTTGGGAGCCAGAATTGCAATGACTTGTGCAGCGGCAAACGAGGAGAGAAAACCAAGCAACACAAAGAGATGAAGTAGGAGAAATATTGTCCAGCCACTTTTAAGCCAAGACTTGAAACCCAATTTTTTCATTTCCACGTACTCGCACAGCAAGTACACAAGCATGGACGCCAGCGTCAAGCCAAGTGAAGTATATCGCACCAGACCGCCAGATTGTGCCGAGAAGGATATCAAGGACGAGATCCACACCAGGGGTCTCTGAACTGTACCTGAATACTCACGTTGCACATAAAAGAAGGCTCGTGTGTCGGCAATCGAATAACTGCACATAATGTCGGCTAGGAAAGAGTGTGAACCCTACCTGAGCTGGTGAAAGCAAAGAGGACAGCGCAGTGCGAAAACGTCTGTGTGGCCGGGTTGATGGCGAAGAAGTCAACGACGGCGGAGATCGTTCGGCGGTCGGCAATTACTGGCAACGGGACAAACCAAGGAGGGTAACGAGACGTGTCCTGGTTCTGCCGTAGTGCTTTTTGAGCTGCTTGCATTGAGCCTGCGGTAAAGCATAACGCTTTGCTTCGCTCGAACTGACCCAAGCATTTCGGAGATTACATGTAGAGTAAAGCGTTCTTCTGCGCTTTCTTTTTTGATGTTCTGTATTGATGAGGCAAAGACATTCACCTTCGCAAATGACTTGGTAATATCCTCCGCTTTGGTTAAATGCCTTGGCGTCACCAGACGCAGCGAAGGGGTACGAGTACGTGAACCTGAAGCCTGGTGGGCTTATAAGCGGGTCATCGGACCGCAGATTTGCTGCTGCAATTGTCGAGGTGGCGCCAGCCGCCGCGATGGGCCAAATGCCTTCATATCCCAGATCGAATTCATCAACGTGTTCGAGTTCAACCTGCGCAATTAAAGATGCAGACGGAAATGAAATCTGTACCTGCCAGAGCAGGCGCACTGTGAGCTTCACGCTCTAGGGTACACTGTGAGTGAACATGCGGAAAATGAAGAGCAGCTTCCTACACAAAGACGAATGGAAAAGTTAACGCCAGAGCTGGCGGGTTGTCAACAATGGGTTCCTCCTGTTTCACCCCAGCTTCTCACGTACTTGCCGAAAGGTGAGCCTGAAACAATTGCCAACAATTCTCGCAGAGCCCAAGTTGCTCGCTTGTGATGATGGTCCGTAAAGCAGTGGGATAAAGCCAAACAGAAGCCAAGAAGCCACATCAGCTTTACTCTTCAGTGTATGGATATCCACTGGAAGGCTCGACTCCAGATTGGTTGCTACTGATGCTGGAGTTGGAGCCGCTTGCTCAGATTTTGCCACCTCATAGCTAATAGAGCTGAAACTAGAAAGTGCTGGGGCCAGCGCGGAGTTTAGCGGAGATGCAATTCCGTCTCTTGCTTCAAATATCTTGGTGATTTCCAGGGCATACGATAAAAAAAGTAGCAGCATTGCAAGATAGAGGAGGGAAATAACGAGCTGGCCAATAGGTTGCCTCTTCATGAGCAGTTGCTGCACTTCTTCAACGTTCTTAGCGGCCTCTTCAAATCGAATGGGAAAAAGCTTTCTCCTAAACATATCCCTCCTTATAAGTGGATTCTGCCCATCAAGTACGTTTCCAAGACCAATCTGATTCGGGTCTTTTAGAAGGAGCCGTTTTTCATAGTGCCTCCGCTTTGCCTTGTAGCCCGCATCAATCAACGCCTTCTTCTGTTCCGATGTGTTGGAAGGCCCCTCAAACCTCTTCTGTTCCCTAACAGCTGATGCAGCCACTACGTTGGCATCTCTCTCCCACTGCTGTTGCTGCGTCAGCTGGCCTAGCACATTCTCCAATCCACCTTGGAAACGGACGCCTTTTTCCTGCACCATGTTGAGTCCGTACAATTGGAGTAGTAATGTACACAGTGGGAAATACCTAGGGAGACGTTTGTGACAGGACAGTTTTAGACGAATTTCCCTGAGTGGAAAGTCGATTCCATTCTGCTACTGGCAACGCTGCCACCGTGTCGGCGGTGACCTTCGTACATGCTTGCACGCATCAGTACACCTTTACATCTTTCTATATTCTACAGGCGAAGCTAGGAATACAGAAATATTATACTGAGGAAGTCGGAGCGAGCAGATCGTACACAAAGCCTGTGGGCTGCAGGAGAGGAAGTTACGGCAGCTACTGACGGTGTAGGGCGCCCCGCCAGTGGACCACGACGCATAGAAGCCTGAGGGGAGCCATGTGGCATTTCATCTGGTTTAGAGCCAAAGAGCTATTTTTCCTCTCTAAAAGGAATACTGAGCAAGCCTGTTAGTACGACAGTCCTAAATCCTAAAACTGTACTGGATCACTCGTGCATCCTGTGTGACCGGACACTGTGTCGATGTCAGAATAGCCAACTGCATTAGGGAGAGGGCCCCGTGCCCCGTTTCTGCAACACCGGGAGAAAATTCTAACACCCCACATAATTTTCATTCAATTCGTAGAATTTGCGCAGAGGTTTTTCTGTAAGTGGGTCGTATTCATCCAACCGCCATGGCCGACGCAGATACGCCGGTACCTCCGACACGCTTGCTCCTAGCCAGGTATTAATAGCTTTCCTACACTAAACCTGGGGGAGTTGTGCAGATAAGTTGTTAAGGGTTGGTGGAGTTGTAAAGTGTGCTCCCCTTAAAGCGTGGGTGTTCACCTTCTGGCTGGCAGAGGATGGGCAGGCAGCCAATGTCCACAGCTCGCTTTGGTGCTTTCACTAGAGAGGATGACACTATATCTGTACATTCCAGACAGTATATTCTCCAAAGGAACGGCATAAAGCGACAATCACCACCAAAGGAGACCTCGAAACGGGCAAGTGGTCGCAAGGGGGCCCCTTTAATCAGACACGGCAGCTCACGCTCCGTGCAAATACCACCAGAAACCCCACGGTGCTCTTACACCATACAGGGAGAAATGCTGCATTAAGTCAATCATTCACAAACTATGTAGCAGGGGCATGCGCGACGCTCCTCAAGTACCCTGTTCGCGGCGCACCATAATAAACGTCTGTTCTGGCTAAATAATTCCACAATTCATATGCTCACTCGATTGCAGCTGCTCTTTGGTAAGTCGATGACTAATTGTAGCTACTCGTGCTTCAATCAATCAGCCACTTGCCCGTGGGGCTACTTTGTTGACGGTGCAAGAACCTTGCGTATTGTGAAGGGGAATTCTTCCATGTACGCAGCATTACAACATTATGCATCAGGCTCCCCGCCCCGTTAACGCGAATGATCCATATTGAAATAACTACGGACGAACCCGCATCCCGCACAACGAATTTTGCAAGCAAACATCAAAGATCAGAGACCCATTGTCACTGGCTAGCCTTGCACAGCCTGCACAGCTGCAGGAATTTTAGGCAAGGGTAAGCTTCTCTGGACAGACAGTAGGCTCCATGATGTGTTTCTTATGGGATAAGGCTGCGCGGAAGTCCTTACCTTCACTGCTATAGTATATTTTATTGTAGTAGCTTCGGAACACGTAGCACTGATTCCTAGCCCTTGCTGCTCATTGCGAAGTCGCCGCTGGTATAACCCTGGCCGTGGATATATATTAAAACAATCAGAATGCCATCCCTTCTCTAGTTGCTGTGTTTACTTGTCTACTTCTTGGCAAAGTTGCACTTCACGTATGAAGTTCAAGGCTCTCACATGAAATGAGCAGGAATAGCAGGATAATGCATTTCTGGCTTCCACACGGATTAAAATAAGACTCTTCCATTCTTATGTAGTACACTGTTGTGGACGTTCCCTTCAACCGCTGCATTGGGGCTTACCATAGCTTAAGAAGTGTGCTGGACGGCTCTTCGAACGGCGGCTGCTGCCAAACCCCCCACAATTGTTTAGCAGCAACCAAAAAGCAAGAAATGAGCGCAAGCACTCTGTCTATTGTTCTGGTGGTTCCCCTTCAGCAGGAGCATTCGGGCTCATTACAGCAGCACCTGTGCAGGCTGCTGCAAAGGTGTCGTGGACGATTGCCAATATGAGGATGCAGACAAACTCTCATCTAAGGCTTTGAGAGTAACGCCAGAGCAGTAAACCACCACCCGCCGCTGTGCTTGCAACGAAGCAGGCGACGATACCTTGTGACTAGAGTGTTCCTTTTAGATTACCGTCAGCGGCAGAGCAGTGTCTCTGTCTTTAGCCAGCCGTTTTAAAAAAAGCGGCTAAGACGATCTAAAACACTTGCGTAGTCGAGACTTCAGTTCGCCTTCAGCAGTAGCATAAAGGGGTCGCTTGCCACGGGGGTTCTGACCAGACCGCATTCACCGCAGCCCGAATTTTCTGGTTCGCTCTTAGCAAGCATAAAACCCCCAAAGGGGCCTGCAAAACAAAAACTTGGAGGTCGTAAGAACCATCTGCTTCATCCGTATTCTGTTTTTTAGCTCTACGTTGTGTGCGCGCTCTTCACAGGCAATCCATACCTGGTGGTCACTGACCACTCCCTGAGCACAGGGGCCATCTTTAGAAATGTGAACATACCGAGTTAGCTATGGCCTTTGCCAACGAATGAAACTATTATCAAAGCTGAGCAAAAAGCATATTAATTTGCAGGTGCATGTGATGCTTGCCTCGGAAACGGCGCCGCATAGCACACGCCCGGGGACACAGGTTCCGCTCTCGCTGCTTGCACCAGCCTTGGCTGTATTGGAGGTACCGTGCTTTCCAGAATAGTTTCTGTATATTCCACTATATCTTGTTTTAGCTGACTTGTGCTAACTGTTTGTTATTTGTCGTTGTTTTCTTTCTCGATACCGTTTCGTCCCCTCTAGCATTCTAAAAAGCCATCGGTCTGCCAGTGGTCCCCTGGGCTGCGAACCTGCACCTGGGCGTGTTTCGTGGGCTCTGCTTCCCAAGTAGGCCTCCTCCGCACAAAGATACACTTAAACACAGCGAAGTAGGACGAACTAGCTGCTGAAGCGGTGAAGCGCGAGGTGCATCTTCGTTCATGTATGCGTCATGATGGCGAATCCGCAGACAAAGAAGACGGACGTCCCGCAGTGGCTTGTAGATCAAATTAAAAACAGGACTAGTAAATCTCTGGAAGACATTGAAAAGGAATGGGCAACGCAGCTTAATGCTAGACATGACCAGCTAAGGACCCTGGAGAAGGATGGCCACACAACTGCGGCGCGCTTTTTTCAGCATGTTGCGGAGGAAGGCCCAGATCGGGTGTTTTTAGTGTACGGAGGGGCCGTTGAAGGCGGCTCATCTGAGGATAGTTGCACACAGTGCTGCACGAGGGTCTTGACGTATCGCCACGTCGACCATGCAAGCAACAGCGTCGCAGCATGGGCAAGTAAACTGCAGGGTAAAAACCCTACTAAGTGTGGTTCTTGTAGGGCAAAAGGGCCAACTCAGTCATGTGCTGAATGCGTGAGCAACTCGCGTGTAGTTGCTTTGATGATGCACAGCAGTCCAGAATACTTAATTGTGTTCTTTGGCCTCTTGAAGGCGGGCATCACTGTAGCACTGGTGCATCCTCAGCTTCGAGGGCCCCTCTTGCGGAGGGCGCTCGCAGAAGCAAACGCAGATATGCTTATCTGCGACGACTTGACCCTCAGCTCCATGCGTACTGCGTGGCTGAAGCCATCGGGAGAAGAACCAGACTCGGCGGTTGCCGCCGTCCGTCACGAAGACGAGGGGCAGCCAGGCTCCTACCCATGCTCTGTGTACATCTGTGGACTGAAGGATGCGAAAGAGCAAGACGGAGAGCGCAGCCTGATCCCCCACGTGCACAGCATCGTAAAGGAATTTCTTACAGAGGAGGAGGCTGCACACCATCGGGGGAACACGGAAAATAGGCCCAACGACGAACAGCACAAATGCAAGCCTTCTGGATTCCCGATGCTTTTGAAAGAGCCTCTACGGAAGCTGGTCGGATCACATTCCGAACGACAGGCCGCGTCGGGCGCTCACTGCGCTGAGATGTCCCTGCCGTGCTGCTGTCTATACACCGCCGACCTCGAAGGGCACTTGCGTGCGACGTGGGTTTCCAACAGCCGTTTCCTTTCGGCGGGCTTTTGTTGGCTGGAAGCGGTGAACCTGACTGAATCTGACCGCCTCTTGCTGGGGGTGCAATTGTCTCACGAGGTGGGGCTCCACGCGCTAGCAGCAGCAATTGCTTGTAAAGGAGCCCTACTGCTGCGATCTCGGAGCAGCTTACTCTGTCTGTGGCCTGATGTCAAAGCCATGGATGCCACTATTCTCTGGCACACGGGGATGATGTGGTGCAGGTTGCTGAAAGCCCATGAGAGCTACCAGGGGGGTGACCAAACGCAGCGCTTGGGTTCCTGGAGCGGCAATCCGCAGTTGCGGGCAAGCATAGGAACCGGACTAGCTGGGGCGTTGTGGCCAGTAGTGAAGAAGGTCTTCAATATTCCCCGAATTCTGGAGTTCTACTCTCCGCGGAACCTTCAAACTCCCCAAATCCTCTTCAATGCTTGGGACATGCCAGGGGCGTGCGCGTTCGTCCCGGACTTCGCCTGGAATTCTAAGGAGCTCGAGAGGATTGTAGAATTCAATGAGAAAACAGGGGAGGTCTACAGGGAAAAAACAACCAAGAGGGGCAAGGAGGCCAGCAGAGACAAGAAGACGCTAATTCAGAGGGGTCAGTTGATTAGTGCACGTGGAGGCATGTTTTCTGAAGGGTTTAGCAGAACTCGGCGTACGCGTGAACCTGTAGTGGTTTACAGTAACCAACATAGGCTTACAATTGTCCATTTGTTGTTGATCAGGTGAGCTGGTGTCGCATATTGAACCTGAACACGGCTTGTGCCTTTTCACGACCGAAGGAGAGACTGAGCAATTCTTGTATAGAGACCTCCTCGAAGAAGGAGATCTCTGGTGCCGCTCAGGGGACATTCTCGAGAGAGACGCCGCCGGCTTCCTGTACCTCTCCAAACGCATCGGTGAGTTCGCTGCATCGGAAAATCCAGAGAGGTCTTGTGCTTCCTGTGGCTGTTGTTCTCCACAGTCACAGCATGCTTTGTATTCAGGGGTGTGGGTGGAATAGAGTTGATCAGGGTGTGCCGTCGTGATACAGGGTTCCTTAGATTCAAAAGTGAAGCGTTGAACTCGAAATAATTCTTTTGTTTTACAGGGTCCAGCTTCTTCATCGATGGGGAGGTGGCGCCGGTGCACGAACTGGCGAGGTGGCTTGAACATGAGCCCGGTGTTTGGGGCGCTTGCGTAGAGGGGCTCCAGGTGTTCGCAGACAGGGAAACAGCGGAAACAGTTGAGAAGCAGTTGGAAGATCAGCAAGAGGGATGGCCACGGACAACCTTTGAGCTGCTGCAAACGGACCAGCAGCGCCACAGGCTCAAGGTAAGTTCTCTCAGTTCTGCGAATCGAATCCTGGGTTCCAAGGATTTTGTACGCAAGAGCGCATTCAGTAGCAGACGGCTGCTGTGGGATGTGTTTCTGCTTTCTGTATTGTGTTTTTACAGTGCCTGGTTGCTTGCATTCACGCGAGGCTCGATGCCAGTGAAACAGAAGGAAAAAAAGAGAGTGGTAGCCAAGTGCAAGCTTGTGGACCGGTTGACCTCGATGGTAGCCTGGTTGTGTTGGGCGAAGAAAAAGAGGTGAGTGGATGGAAAAGGCAAGAGGGTGTCCAAGAGCCAGACGAAGGCATGGCCATGATTACACTCCGAGCTTTCCTGAGAAGGATCCGCAACAGCCTTGACCGCGGCATCCACTTAGCCATCCGCCCGAAAGTCTTGATGCTCTGTCTCTCCACGTGCTGCGGTGAAGACTGCGAGCATAAGCATCAGGGGAAAGCATGCAAGCTGTGCTCCTGCACGACGGACCAGAAAAAGTGTCAGTGCCGGTGCGGCTGCTGCTGGGGCTGTGATGGCTGCTCCTGCAGGCGGGAAAGCCTGCAGGGTTTGTGCGACCTCGTATCCAACCAGGACTGTGACTCTTCAGGGGATATCTGCAAGAAGGACTGCAAGCGTTGCTGCTTCCTCTTTTACGCCGACGTAAATGGAGATGCCTTCGTCCCCCTTACGAAGGAAAGCTTCAAAGACTTCGTGTGCGAGAGCTACCCGAATTTTGGCCTATAAGCAGCAGGAAGGCAGCCCTCTCATGTGGCATGGGTTAGAAGAGGCAACAATCACCTCTGCAGCTCATGGAGCGTCTGATTGAGCCTTTCGTATTGTGAATAGTTGTGTTGTTTCGTGTTTGCATGCCGACCATCCTAGCATAAACTTTCATGGATGGGTGCCATCCAAAGATGTGTGCTGGAGTATGTTTGTTAATGCTGTCTTTCTGTTGCACTGTTTGTTCGTTCCTTCCTATTCCGCTCTCCTCAAAGTTACTCTGGCTTGGCGCCGTCCTTGTCATTTGCACCACACTGCAAATGTATGAATAGTCATTTGGAGCGGCACATCTGCATGCATATACCCTCCAAATGCGCACGCAGCGGCCAGGTCACATCCGCAGCGAGTTGTTTTTACCGACTTGCACTCGTTTCCGCAAGTTGCCAAATCAACACAACGACGTAAATGCTTAGTGTGTGTCATGCAACGTATTTAGACACCGGTCGCTAGGAAATGCACAGGAGAGTACAGGGTCGAGTAGGCCAGTAGGCGGCGCCTGGATAGGGAGGGATGCTGCTCTTGCTTTGGGGTTTGTAGAGGCGCTTCGACGTAGCGCTCTCCAACCTTGTGGGAAATGGGTACTTTCATCACGTGGGTACTAAAAGCGGCTCCCCCGCCACTACGCGCTTGCAGATCACCAGCTTGGCATCTGCTTAGTAGTGTGCCTAGAAGCTTTCTATACATCGTAACGTTTCTATAGAAACCTGTCCTTGCTGCTTGCCTTACTGGACCCGAGGAGGCACTGCAGCAGCAGCTCAGGCGCCAAAGGTTGTCTTTGATTGAAGGGCAACATAACAGTGTACCCACTACAAAGCTGGTTACGCAAAAAGTGGGGAAGCTTTGCTACAGCAAACTGCTGGTACACCGTAAGAGACCTGTCAGGAGCGTAGGGACGTAGACATCTCGCTCATGTATGTTCGAGTCTACGCCAAGGGGCACAGACAGAAAGCCTCACAAGAAGAACTTCGTCTCTCTCAAGATCTTGCGCTGTAGGATATTGGCTTTGATGCCTAGTCTCATCCTCTGGTTCTGCTGCTTCCGCTGGTGCTCTGCCTCTCGCCGCCACATAAGCCGGCGCTGCTGCGGCAAAAGCAACGGCCGTTGCTGCCGTTGCAGAGACAGCTCGCCTCCCACTATTCCTAGGTGCTTTTGCAGCTTCCGCCGCTTGCAGAGAGCCAAGGACCATTTGTGGTTGACCAAGGCATGCTGAGGTGGGACCTGCATGCAATAATCCAGTATGCATATACATACATCCAGATCGTGTGCCAGCGTCTGCCAATGGCAACAGCAGAAAGCATCAACAACGATCATATGAAAAGGAGATTAGCCCCACAAAAAGTCCCACCAGCTACGCGTCCGTAGCACGCACAGCGGTGTAGCGGAAACAGCAGTCACGCCCAGAAGCCAAAGCGGCAAAACCACGGCAGCAGAAGCAACGGCAACAGCGGTAGAACCTGAAGCGGTAGCACGATGCAGCTTACCCCTGCCATGTCCTGCAAGACACACTGCTCAGCCAACTGTGGCTCCACACGGCGGAGGCGCTGCCGGCAGAAGATGGCATGTGACCGATGCAGAACCCTGAACAAAGGAAGACCTCAATATTCTAAATCATGAACTTCAACATGTTTAGTACGTCCGAAGCTTACACCTGAACTGCAGCAATGCATGCAGAGCACGCGCAGCCTGACCTAACCCGAAACCTACACCCTACTCCCTAAACCCTGGGGCGGAATGCTACACTTTGGCGTACTCCTGGCCACTGGGCAGCTGCAGGTGCCCTTCGTCTGTCACATGAGCATGACGCCACCCTCTGCGAACAGGTGGACATCCAAAAGCCATAAGCCCTTAAGCCCAACCCTCAATCCTAAATTCTGGTTCCCCGATCTTGCACGCGTTTCCCCGAACGGTGAGCTCTCGGATGAGCGAGCACTGGCTGTATTGTGCGTGTCAGCCTCTTGCACAAGAACATAGCAAATCATGCGCGTCTATACCTGGCCTTTAGGATTGCCTCCAGCTCCTGCTGCTCTGATGGTGCCGTTGTTTCGTCTCCGTCGTCGCTGCTGCAGTCCTCCCACGCACTTTCTTCATCCCCTGTCATTTTAGCTGCCTCTGTATCTGTTGTTGCTTCGGCTGGCGTCTCGTCTTCATGGCGCGTGTCGCTACAGACCTTGGGTGCCTGCAGCTCCGGGGCTTTGGGACGATTCAGCCGCTCCAGAAGCTGCATAGACACCGCAAATCGGCGCAGGTCCTCGTGTTTCTTTGCATGTTTCTACGCCCAACAACAACGCAGAACTGATCCCCGCAGTTCCTGAGTACTTGGTCTTTACCTCATAGTAAGACTTCTTGTAGTCATAAAAACGATGCAGCAAGTCCTGCTGCTCTTCGTTCCATTTGAGCTGAAAGTGCCGCTGCTGCTGCATGTGTTGCAATGCAGCGCGAATCCCCCTAAATCGTTTGTAGCAAAAGAGACAACGCGGCTCTTGCTGCTGCTCCCGCCACAGACATCGCAACAGACCAGCAGGGTTCACGCAATACTCCTCATCTGGGATCTGCGGACAGCCACAGGAAATCACGAGAAACGATGTAAGAGAAGAAACAGTCCAAATGCAGCAGCAGCAACGACAAAAAGCAACAGCAACAGGAGCACCCGTGATACGTACTCTAACACTACAAGGAAATGAACATCAACCGACCAAAAAAGCAATCTGTACGACTAAGGCAGGCTCTGGTAGCACCAATCTGCCTCAACAGTGAGTGTTGCTACGAGCCTGGCAATAGCAGCAGCAGCAGATGTCGCTTAACGCACAAAGAATCCGTATGCCTTGTTCATGTACTTCAAGTTCTCTGCTACTGAAGCAAAGGCAGGCATCTTCTTGAATAAGTTGCATCTCTCAGGGTGATGCTGCAGTGCAGCCCTCCAAGCAGCAGCTTCAGCTTTGGCTGCTGCTGTCCTCTCGTCTGCTGTTGCTGCTGTCTCCGTATCCTCATCGTCTGGCTGTTGCTCCTGTTGCGGATGCTGCTTCTTGAGATGATCCCTACCCTTTTTATTGCAGCGGACAGCTGCATGAAACTCTGCAGCGGCGCCACTCAGAGCAGAGGTGCCTTGGGGCCCCTCGCGTTCTGACGTCAGTGGCTGGAAGCCCCCCACCGGACCTTCCCCTTCTGCATACTGCCGAGCCAACCGTAGTAGCGCAATCTTTCGCTCGAACTCAGAAATAGTCACTACAGGAAGCTGCTGGCTTCGGCGGCGCATGTTGTACCTGGAATGCACGCACACACATAAGAGCAGCTGATGCATTAGCACACATACATACATACATACATACATACATGCATACATACATACATACATACATACATACATGCATACATACATACATACATACATACATACATACATACATACATACATACATACATACATACATACATACATACATACATACACACACAGGGGGAGTTGTTGGTTCTGTTGACTGCTTGTCGCGCAGCATCTTCTTGTTTATCTGTTGGAGAGGTTTATGTTTTGCATTCATTTCCTCAAACTACTGCATTCTTCTTGCTCGAGTTTATCAACTTCTTTTTTAAAAGCACAGAAATAAGGAGACGATGAATTGCGCTCTGCATGCATGCATGCATGCATGCATGCATTACTCTTGTCATCTCTCTTGC